CAAGCACCTGAAAGCGTTTACAAGCAGACCCTACGCGTTTACAAGATGAAACCCTTTCAAGTGATCTGATCGAGGATAAGCCCGCAGGGTTTCATGACTACGGTCATTACCCCCGCAGGGGGTGCAGACGCGCCGAAGGGGCGGCTGTGAAGAGTGGCGTTGACGCTATTCGATCGAGGAGATCGTTCACAAGGGGACTTGTCGTAGTAGAGGAGCAAGGGTCTGGAAGGCCCGCGACAGACAGAGACAGAGTACACAGTCACGGAGGACTGACCGAGAGAGTGAATACGACCAAGGGAATGAATGGTGACGAGAAGAACACTGCAGATTGTATGTCACTGGCACATACACAAGCAGTGGAAAAGATACACCTGGGCCCCGACCGGAGGGAGGACACGACTGGAAGGAGCCCTTGACTGGAAGGAAAAGGAACCGAGCTGGAGGCGAGGATTGTGAGAGGGACGGAGTCACTCGGACACCCAGGCCCCCTATTACTTAAGTTTGGTTTATAGGGGGCCATGGCACAACGGCCCAGCTCTAGACACCTTGCGCAGCTTGAGTGTGGTACTAAGCAGAAACGACGGGGGGGAGTGCATGCAGTCATAACGACCAATGAGACGAGAGGGATCAGGTCGGTGCAGAGGATGCAGGTTGCGTAGCTTCCATGCACGTCAAGTCATATGACGGGGTGGGAGACCACCCGGACACAGGTGGAGAACACACCCACGGGTGAGCTATAAGAAGGGGTGCCCGCCTCTTTGACACTGGAACCTAAGACGGTTCTACTCTCCTCTTTCATTTTGAAGAGGAGGCAGGGGACAGGCGCTACCGCCCTCGACTACACAGAACGCTGCAGTTCTTTCACACCAGCCTTGACTGACTGAGACAGCAGACAGAGGACCGGAGGATGGACGCACACATACAACGTGGCCCGGGGGACACAAGGAGAAGAAAGTGACGAGAGGAACAATCAGAGTCAAGTGACTGCGAAGAAACAAGGTGAGAAAGGTGACGAGAGGAACGGACAGACACAGAGGATCAGTGATCAAGAAGAAACGAACGGGGAAAAAAAGAGAAGAGAAGCACTCTGAGTGGACTCACTTGTCCACGGCACTCTCTTTCTTCTACACTGTCCCCGCCATGGGGACTCGGTTGGTATCCGCATCTGGGTAAGACTCCCTTGCGAACACCGTGACTCAATTGCCAGAAGGCATCGGGTGAGAACAGGTTGGACATTGTTCACTCGCTCCCACTCCGCCCATGCGGGCTGCGCTCCCGCTTGCTTCCGTTTCTACACTTATCCACTGCGTTCAACAGCCCTGGCGGGCGTTTCACCAAAGCCGTTTTCGTGCCCCGGGCCTTGAGGGACTTGGTGAGAGTCAAGTGACTGCGAAGGAACACTCGGAGAGAAGGGGACGGCCCCGCACACACCCAAGACGGCACTCACGATGCCCTCACTCGTAGACAGACACACGGAGGGGAAAATAGAGATAGTTACCGCGAGGGAACATGGCTAGTCAGAGGCAGCTTCGGCCAGGTTCTGCAAGCTTCCATGCACCCACACAATTGACCGGGCGTGAGACCCGGACGCAAATGGGTCACATCCAGGGTATAAAGGCACCCGCTGCCGCCCCCCCCCTTCCAACACACATGTAGACTTCACCCCAATGCATCCCCGGCCTCTACTGGACGCAACACATCGCACACGGTCTTTTCTTCCTCCGCGTAGACCTTTCTCCATGAGCCGTTTAACAAGGGAACGGAACAGATAGTAGACTCAGCCCTCCTCGTCTAGAAGAGACTGACGGAATGAATCCAGATTCCGCTGCCCCGACTACACCTTGAACCCCTTTGCAAGCACCTGACAGCGTTTACAAGAGACAGACTGGAGTGATCACCTCCGGAGGACTCCTTCAGAGCTATGAAGGCAATCCCCGAAGGGGGTGCAGGCAGGCCGAAGGACTGACTGTGGAGAGCCACGCTGCAAGAATCTTCAAATCGACTCAACCCGTTCACTAGGGAATCTACACAGGACACGAGGAGCGCGTCTGAAAGGCGCGCGACGGACTAAACACTACACAGTCGCACCAAAGAACAATCGTGCATACCGGTACGGACTAAGTGACGGATACCAACACACAAACACACCACCCCAAGTCACTCAGTCACACACAACCACGTGAACACACCCGCACACACAACCGCCAATCACAGCCTGGGCCACGACCGGAGGGAGTTTTGTATGAGCGGAGCGAGATCTGACGAGTGGAACGAGGAACTGGACGACTGGAGGGAGGACACTGGTACGAGCCTGGAGGGCGAAGTCGGTGTGTGACGGGAGGTCACGCATACCCCCGCGCCCCCTATATCCTTAAGTTTGGTTTATAGGGGGCCTCTGCTCCATGGCCCAGTCTTTAGACACCTTTCACGCACGTGATTGAGTGTAGTACTAAATTGAAGCGACCGGGGGAAGCTCAATCGTCATAAGCACCAATCAGAGGGACGAAGGATGGTACGTCACAAAGTGCTGGTTACGTAGTTTCCTTGCACCCCACACTTGGACGGGTGCTGCACCCGGACACAACAGACACCAGAGGTATAAAGAGGGGCCTCGCCCACACACAGGACACTGGATTGTTCTGCTTTCCACCTACACCTCAACCCAGCGGTTGACATTCGCTTGTCTAAGCACGGACACGATGGAATAGCACCCACGGATCTAGGAGAGTGGTCCACTCCTCCACTACGTGCACGCTGCGCGCTGCACTCGCTCTGTCATTCCCGGAGAGGGTATGTATTGGTATCCAGGCTGGATATGGACAGATTGGTTCTGTCCTTTCAGGCGAACCGTGTTCGTCAAACGGCAAAGCAAAGCAGTACGTGACTGGGAAGGAACAGTCGGAATGAAGCGACAGGAGAAGCAAAAGGGAAAGGAGACGGGAAACAGGGAGGTGATACCCTGCCGGCGGCCCTTTGGGTCCTCGGCTGCGCCTCGCTCGGAAGCCTTCTCGTGAGAAAGGGCTGGACAAGTGTCCACTGCACTCCCACTGCGCCCTGCACGGGCTCCGTTTACCGTTTGCTCCCGGGGAAAATTCTTGAACATGCGTTCAACACCGCAAGGGTGTCTCACTGACGGCGTCACCACGGACAGAGACCATGGAGTCGATCTCATGACGGATATTCTTTTGACCCGTGAGGGTTTCAAGGCAACGGCCCTTGTCGCACTTCTCTTTTACGAGGCGGTAAAAGGCTTCCTTGCTCGACTTACATTCGATATGCTTTGTCTATGTTCCGCGGAACGGTGAAGCGCGAAGCAGCGGAGGCTCTGGTCAATGACCGCTTGGACGCCCGGAGGGGCACGAGAGTCAAAGCCGCGGAGGACTGGATTGCCTTGGGGCGTACTCTTACGAAGTACTCGGTCATTGTTTGTACAACCCTCCCACCCAAGCACGGGAGACACCCACCACGCAACAGATACATGCAGCAGCGCATTGGTCCGGCCACATCGCATCTTTGACACCCCGCCTGCCTAAACCAGTGCTGGGATAGCTTCACTTCCTTGTGCACAGGTAGACTCAACCGTGCAGGATGAGCAACAAGCCCTTGGACATACATTGTAGACCAAGCAAGTGACGGCAAGAACGCAAGGAGTATAGTAGCAGTGCACGAAGATAATTGATTTGACCTGGATGAGGTCACCAGGCTACCGACTGATCCCTCACGGTGAAGTGATGTGGTGAACTTCTCCATGCGTTGACAAGAGAGCCACCCCACGTACTGTATCCCACTCACCCGGCTACGCATCAACACCCACGGACAAACATCGTAGACTCCCACCCTCGTTTACAAGTATTCCCAATACGTTTACAAGTAGTAGTCACTGCCCCGGCTACAGACAACCATCTCCAATCCCCTTCCGAGATACGAACACAACCCCCCCGAAGGGGGGTGCGCACGCGCCGTAGGGGCGGGTGTGGATGAGATACTCACGACTCTTCAATTGAGTGAGACGTTTACAAGAACATCGACACAAGACGAGCACTCTTGACGGAGCAAGCGTCCACCGGGCGCGCGATGGAACAAGACACACCACACATCTACACCTGCTCACACACACCCAGGTCACTCCGCCATACAAGCACACGGACAAAATACACACTGGGCCCGCGACGGGACGGAGCATGTCTGAGCGGAGCGAGTCTTTGCACGACTGGAGGGAGTCAAAGGTACCGCAGCTGGAGGCGAGGATTGTGAGAGGGACGGAGTCACTCGGACACCCAGGCCCCCTATTACTTAAGTTTGGTTTATAGGGGGCCTCTGCTCCATGGCCCAGTCACTAGACACCTTGCTTTAGCTTGGATGTAGTTCATAACAGTTTCACACGGGACGGAAGAGACTGCGTCATAAGAAGGTACCGACGGAGGGAGGTGGCTACGTCCATTGGTCAGGTTACGTACAGTTTCACTGACCCCACCACTGACCGGGTTGAGGACCCGGACATTCACTCGTCATACGAGTTATAAAGACCTGGGTGGTCGTAACAGCCTATTGGACGGGAAGGACAATGCTCGTGACTGCCGAGAATCATGCAAGGATTCCAAGTGGGTGTGGTCCCACATTCCCTTTAACCGGTTCAGGTTGAATATGAGTACGCGAGGACATAAAGGAAGGGGCTTCCCCGAGCTGAGCGACTGTCGGGCAGACTTTCTCTTTTTCATTCCTTTGCAATGAAGGATCGTGAGTAATGATCGACTCACGCCGGCGGGCACTCTTCGGATGCACGAAACCCTACCAGGTAAGGAGACGCCGGTCCTCGACGAAAGTTGAAAGGAGGGACTTTCACATACATGACTTGCTCACGCGAGGGAGCACCACAGTCAACGAACGGGCAGTCGATCGACACGCTCGGTCACGAGGCCGCACCTTCGGCACAGGTCCACGCACATCCCACGCACACGGAGATCCAGTATCGATCAGTTTCAGCGACACTGTCACCCAAGATGCCCGACAAGGGGAAGGGGAAAGCAAAGAAGAAGGCACCCCCGAGGTGGTCCATGTGCCCGAAGCTACACGACGGTGTGTCGCGACTGCTGGAAGAGGAGGATCTTTTCTTCGATTTTCACACGGCGGATGACGCCAAGAACTGCGTCAAGGACTACGACACCAACGTGATGGGCAGGTTCCCCTGCCGCAACCCAAAGTGCTCTTCGGACGGCTGGTCAAGTAAGAGGATTGCCGTTACGATACGGATGTATGCCGGGGCTCAGTACAACGTCCGCGTGTACCACCAATGCTGCTTGCAGTGCAACCGCCTCAGCAGGCCCGTCCTGGACAGTTCATCATATGCCGAGAGGACGGCGTACCGCCTCAAGAAGTGGTGCGGAATCCAGATGGAGGCGCCCCCCTACAACGAAGGTGAGGGCCCACCCCATCACAAAAATCTTTGCGAGGGATGTAAAGCCGGTCATTGTATCGAGCTCCGCTATTGATAGTGCCGCTTGCATGGAGAAACGAATGCGGGTTATGCGAGGGAAGGAACTTCGAGGACAGTTCCGGTAATTTTCTACGCGAAGCCGGGATGAATAGTAGTCGGGAGCATTCACTGAGAGACAGAGTTGACTTGTGTAGACACTATAGCACACTGAAGATGAACGTGAGACCATAGAGGTACGCCTTATGGTGACGACATGCACAGGGAAGTGCTTGTACTGATCCGTGATAGTGACTGTAATCATCCATGCCTTGCTTCCCCAGTGCGTTTACAAGAGAGCCACCCAAGATAGTAAATATGACACTCCAAGTAAACTACTCTGGGTGATCACCCCCGGAGGGCCATTCCATCACTATGGAATTTACTCCGAAGGAGTGCGGACACGCCGAAGGTGTGGACGTGAGAAGCCACATTGAACATCTTCAACCGAGTGAATGCGTTCACAAGAGAGTCGACTCCAAGAAGAGGAGCAAGTGTCTGAAAGGCACGCGACGGACTCACAACACCACTTACCCGCTGAACAGTCACTTACTAGAGACTGAGTGACAAACACACCACTCCACGCAAACCACTTCACCCAGTCACTCAGTCATACAACCCACGCCCATAAACTACCCGTTGGGCCACGAGCGGAGCGAGTACCTGTCTGAGCCGGAGGCGAGTTGACGACCGGAGGGAAGTCACCAGTACACGACAGGAAGGAGTGGACACAAAGAGACGGGAGGTCGCTTTGACTGCCAGGCCCCCTATTACTTAAGTTTGGTTTATAGGGGGCCATGGCACAACGGCCCAACGTTCTAGGCAGCTTTCACGGCACGTGATTGCATGCAGTCCTACACTCATCGGACGGGACGGGAGTGGGTGCGTCATAAGAGGCTGGGGGAGGGGACCGACCACGCGCGTCAAAGAGGCAGCTTCCGCACAGGTTGCATGCCGGGGTCGGGTTACGTACAGTTTCCATGACCTTCCACACGGGGAGGGTGCAGAAACCCGGACAGATCAGACACAGGGTATAAAGGGCAAGGGTGCCCCGTCATGCAACCCGAGAACGTAGGGGTGAGTACACTATCTTTGTTGATCTACTTGTAAACGATTTTAGAGTCTAGTGGCCGTGTCGAGTGAAGCCATCGTGACAGCTGTATTAGGCAAGTGGGGTGTCTACCATGCGATCGTCCTCCACCTTTCTATGAAGTCTGTACTCTCTACAAATCATGCTTCGCTTTCGCCCACAAAAGCCCACTTGAACCCTATTCTACGCCGTCGAGCCTTCGCTTCCGCTTCAACATAACCACATTGCTCCAAATAGAAATCATACCTCAACGCAGTCAGTTTTCACCAAGCCGACCGACTTCATCTCGTCTCCCAGTGTCTGTACCCTGGCTCCACCGCGGCGTGTACAAAGAAGCAGAAAGGCAGAAGGCAGCCTCAAGCTGCTGCATGGAAAGGTGGCCAAACCCCCTGGAATTGTCTCCGGTTCCCGTGGCGGAAGTGACTGTCGTCCCGGTCCTGTTCCGACAGCTTTCGAAGCATTGTCCACCATGTGTCTGTGAGGGCGGAGCCTTGCCCACCGGGTGGCAGAATGAGATAGGCTTTTACCACCTCGTAAAAGAACAGAAAAGAGTCCGTGCGCTTTTCAGCGAAATTCCAAGGGACGGTTTCACTCCCAAACTGTGTAATACTTCCTCATCAGATCCTCCAGCCGATCTCGTGACTGTAGCGCTGCCATCGCTTCTTTCTCCATCAGATAAACCCTGCCGTGTGGCATCACCGGGAAAGCAGAACCCGAGAGTGGACAGACTCGGGACTCAGCCCTCGTGTCTCTACAGGATGTAAAAACATCCCCCGTTCCGCCTGGAAAGAAGAGCGATGAAGCGACTACCGCGCGCCGTCAACAAGACATAGCCTCTCGTCGGAGGGTGTACCACATGCACATGTGGAGGGTACAAGATCACGCAAGTGATGGATCACTCCGTTACCACTTCTCGTGGGTAGTTCAACCCGATGCTTGTCTGCTGCCGAGCCAATGGGTGGAATCACCGTCACTCTAGCTCCAAGATACTTGTTCATCATACCTTGTCCGACAAGACGAAGTCAACCTGACCCGGTTGAAGAAATGGGAAGGAGGAGAGTAGAACCGTCCTAGGTTCCAGTGTCAAAGTGGCGGGCACCCGTGCCCTTCATATACTCCGTTCAACCCGCTTGTACACACCAAACAAGCAAACAAGATCTGTCCGGGTTTCTGCACCCTTCCCGTATGGAAGGTCATGGAAACTGTACGTAACCTGACCCCGGCATGCAAGTGGACACCAGCTGCCTCATGTGACGTGGTCCTTTCCCTCCGTCAAGTCCCTCTTACCAACCTAGTTCCTCCCGTCCCGTACGCAACTGCTAACGACTACATGGAAGCTAAAGCAACCTGTCTATGGGCTGGGCCGTTGTGCCATGGCCCCCTATAAACCAAACTTAAGTAATAGGGGGCCCAAGAGTAGAAGTGACTCCCTCACTCTACTGTCTTCTCCCGCCAGTCGAAGTCCCTTTGACTCCCTCCAGTCGTGCAAAGACTCGCTCCGCTCAGACATGCTCCGTCCCGTCGCGGGCCCAACGGTGTAGCGTTTGGGTGTGTTGTGTATGGCGTGGTGACTTGTGTCTGGCGCGGTGACTTCGGTCTGTTGGGTGGATTTGTCTCGTCCGCTTGCTCGTTGCACTCGCGCGTCCTCCGTCCCGTCGGGTGTTAAGCTGTCTTGTAAACGATGTGATCGGTTGAAGATGTCGAGTGTGGCTCTTCACGTGTCGACCTTCGGCCTCCCCGCACCCCCTGCGGGGGATTGCCTCCATAGCTCTGAAGTGCCCTACGGGGTTTATCCTCGAGATGGTAGCCAGGGGAGTATCATGCTCTTGTAAACGGTGTATTCACTTGTAAACGTTGCTATGTCTACGATTGCATTCTGTCAGGGTCAACCGTCCGTCATGGTTAGACTACAATGACAATGAAAAAACGTCTTTCAGGACGACTGTCTGCAGTCACGAGAGGTCCCGAGGATCTGCCGCTCCACCTTTGATTGCGCGCTCCACAAGCTCCTGTCCGTCCAAACCCAGGAAGCAACGTGCCCGGCGTAGCCAGCCATGACCGCTAAAGTCTGTAGCGTGCACCAAAAAGCAAACGCCTGCAGCTGAGACTCGTTAAGGCCCTCGACGATGCCGAAGACACGCTTCTCTCCAATGGCGTCTAGACGGTCCAGGGCAGCGGGAAAGGAAGCGGCGAGATTCCCGCGTAACTCCGAACGGAGCTGACCCGACCTGCCAACCGTGCTCATCACAAGGGCCAAGTACATGATGTCTAAGAAGGCTGACTCCCCAGCCAACCACTCTGGGATCGACAGTAACGAGCCGGTACGCTGACGCAGGCACGACTCGAAGCCCAGCCAAACAAAGGGATACCGGTACACCTTGTCTCCGGCCATCTCTTGGCCGACAGCGCCTGCAATCCCGGAGAGCTCCCGCTCTCTGTCTCCAAGGGTCGGGAGGGCATCGAACGTATCAGTCTGCGGCCATGTCACGCCGCTCAAAAGTGCCCTAACGCCTTCTGGCGACACCACGAAACTGAGCAAGCTCACTACCGCACCTCTCGGGAGCCCTGTGTCGCAAGGTTTCTGAAATTTTCCTCCTCCAGGAAGATCATCGTGACCCGGATGGGACAGGATACACATGACAACAGGACCACCTGAAAGGTCAGGCTCGCCCTGCTCGCACACTGTCGGTTCCGGCTTCGCCATACTGTTCAGCCAGTGCTCACCTTGTGCCTTCTAGGCAATGGCCTTCTGTAATGTCCTTGGTAAGTGACAAACCCAATGCACTTCGTTTATCGCGTCGAGTGAAACCACTCGATGACAGCAAATGTTGCTGACAGAAATCCACTCCGAGTACTTGTTGGCCAATCAACCCCCAGTTGGATGAAGAGTCAATGGAACGACCCGCTCAGGTCCTGATCCTCAAAGGGTAGACAGAGCCCGCCACTTATATCTCTCTCGAGTGTTGTGCCAAAAAAGACGGTTTGTCCTCCCAAAACCGAACGTGTGGCTTCGTCGAAGGGTAAAACCCGCCTGGGTTATGAGAGAAGGAGGGGGACATCCCCCTCTATTTATATTCCTCCGGTACGGTACTCCTACCAACGTCCGGGTCTTCTCGCCCCTTCCAGATCTGAACCTGGATATGCAAGCTGTGCAGCAAGCTATCCAATCAAAACGGCCGGCTCCCCTCCAGTACGTCAGGCTCTTATGACTCACTTCTTCCCGTCCCGTCCATCCGTGCTAGTACCACACTCAATCACGTGCGTGAAAGGTGTCTATGGGCTGGGCCGTTGTGCCATGGCCCCCTATAAACCAAACTTAAGTAATAGGGGGCCGAAGCACAGAGTGACCTCCCGTCACATACAACCTTCGCCTCCTGCTCCGGTACCTCTTCACCTCCATCCTGTCGGTTTTCTCGCTCCGCTCAGACAAGGCTCCTTCCAGTCGCGGCCCAGCATGTACAGTTTGTATTGACAGTGTACGTGCCTGGTACATCGTGTTCTCTTCCTCGTTGCACTCGGTCGGTCAAGACTCTGTCTTGTTCATTCTATTGACTGCCCGTCGTATGCCCCTTCGGGACACTCACTCCTCCTGTTCCTGCGTGGAGTATCTTGTGAACGTGTTTACCCAATCGAAGATGTCAAGTGTGGCTCCTCACGCCCAAACCTTCGGCTTGGTCGCACCCCCCTACGGGGGGATTGCTTTCGTAGTGATGAAGGAGCCCTCCGGGGGTTATCCTCAGTGTAGTGTCTCTTAGAGTGAAGTGTTCTTGTAAACGGGTTGAAATGTCTGGTGCTGGTGGTTTTTATCCATAGCCGGGTGATTGGGAAGAATGCAGTTATGGTCACATCAGGTCATTAACAAGTGTCACAGTGTTTTAGTGCTCGTCAATTTGTTGTCACTCTCTGTGATTAAATACAATACACGAGGT